ATCGCTCCAAAGCTTTCTGCCTTTCGTCCTCTGCCTTGCTTTTATCTTCTTTTTGCTTTCTTGCCTGAGCATCACCAACTTTGTTTAAGCTCTTTTCTTTCCCGACGAGTTCTTCAAGTCAAACGGTCTCTTACTGCCCTCTTTTACTTTTGAGATGCATCTCACATTGGGAAAACATCAGTCTCTTACTGGGTGATTTTACGGCCACATAATAAAAGATGGTGATTTTGGAACATTGTAGATCGTCTTTTCTATGTTTCTATTTGGACCCTTCTAAAACTTCTGCAGCTTTGTAAGACGTATTTGCGATGTGTCGGTTAATCTTTTGAGCATTTTGTTAGTGCTGAAATAGTCTAAAATTGCGCAACTTACTCCCCCCGCCCCACCCCCTCTTAATTAAATAAAATTTTCGGGCGTGGGGTAGTCTTCAACGGCAAACAGTGTTTCTTCCCTTAATTGTTGTAATTTACTATTTGTAAAGCAGTTCTATCATTCCTGCATGTATCCATCCTTCCATTCATCCATCCATCCATCCATCCATTCGCTCGTTCGTTCGTTTATCTATCTATCTATCGAAGACATGTATTTTCGAGGAAAGCTCAAATCTTGTTCTTTGCTTCCATTAGATGTCGAGCAGGCTGGCAGCTCTCGTACTGAGCAACATGATGATAACGTCAGCAAAAGCCTTGATTGAAGCGAATCTAACACTGGACAGCACACAGAAACTCCTTTAGCGCTATCTAGCATTGACGGTAAGCTTTCGTGAAAAATACTAACTCTATTTGCGTTATGATAGCTACAAAAAAAAAAACCTGTATTGGATTGTATATTGGATATAGAAAGGGTAAAAATTAAACGTTTTGGCCGGGTTATCAGAGCTGTTAAGACACAATGACCGCATTTCTTATATACTTGATAAAATTGGAACTTTGACATTATTAGATGCTAACACGATTGGCCAATCGGAAACTCGTGCAGTAAACTCGATAAAGCGAGTGCTTCGTAAATTACAAGATACGAACATCCCTTCTATCACAAAACTTACAGCTCAAAAACAATACGTTTTGTAGATGAGCTAGAAGAAATTGCGCAGACAGAAAGTCAAACTGATGCTGACAGCGGTAGTAAATTGCGTCCCGATGAAGCCTATACTCGGCAACGTATCGTGAAAAGCATTGAAAAACGTAACAGTATCGGTGAGGCAAGTGGTATGATGATCGTACGCATGCCCTAGGAAACGGCAGAGAGAATTTCGACGAAAGACGTCTTCGACAAGCCTGATGTAAGTGCACAGATCTATATGACATTTGCTATTAGGAGGGCCCATGTCGGATTAAAATTTGTCAGTCATCTTGATATCTTTGTTCTGAGGTAACGTTGGATACTTTTGTGTGCACCCCAACCCCATCTATTAGACTGTAGATCAAACAATTAAGTCCGAACATTCTGCTCTATTAGGTTGTAAAACATGACACGTTTTCACCTTTCAGTTGCACTTTATATTTGCAGGATTATTCATACAAAAAGGATTTAAGCAATCGGAAAAATGAAGATGGTCATGGCACAGAAACAAGAATGGCAAAGTAACAGAAATAGTAAAGCCGGTAACGTTCTTGTTTACAAGTCTTGGGAAACTCCACCTTTTAGCCAAAAAGGTGATCTCAGTTTCTGCCGCCGCAGTTGACCGTTTCGTAAACGATCGATGCCATTTTCGCGACAGATTGAATTTTTCTCTACTAAATTAAAGAACGAAGAAAATTTGTAAGTAACCACCTAGCATCGCACCCGGAACCTCTGTTTCCTAACATCCTTCTTATACCACTACACTACTAGGTTGATATGCCAAATATCCCCAAAATTTAATTATAAAACGTGACTTTCATAAATATTTATAACAGAGTTAGCCCTTCCATCAAATAAAGGCTAACTGCAAGCAAACCAGTGTGAATATGACCAATTAAGAATTTCGTGATGCATTTTACTCCATCAACAAATTATAACCAGTTTATAACCAAATTATAACCATTACTTGCGGGGGAGAATGTTTCAGTCCATCGACCGCCCTTGTTGCTTTTTTCTTTCTCTGGGGCTGAGAGAGGGGGCAACAGAACTTTTGCTCTCCATTAAAAAAAAAAAGAAGAGTTAATGACTTGGAATTTTTCCTGCTCTCAAATGTAAGCATAAAAAGAAATTTGAATTCCGCCAAAAGCATCTTGCAATTTTGGACTTAAATAATTTCCCTCCTTCTTGCAGCGACTCAGAATCAGAAGAAGACTCAAATGAGGAAGTGACTTTTAGACCTGTTGGAATCCCGTACAAAGAAGATGTCTGTATACCCGTATTCTCGTGGAGTCGCAAGGCCTTAAGCTGTAAAGGTCTTGTCAGGTTACTGCTACAAGACTACGATCCAGAGTCCCTGTGCATTTCCCAGCCTGTTAATGTCTCTCATAACATTTCCTTCCTGGTTGAAAATAAGTTTCTGAAAAGCAAGGATGATGTAAAATGTGATGATATGGGAGTATGGAAGCACACTGGATCGCCACGTAAATGGTTCTTCATTGAAAGAAATGACAATAATGCTGTGGAGGAAATCGTGCCTTTGCAAGGAAAGCCTAAACCAAATGTGGATAACGTGTATCAACTACGAAGGATATACTATGTTAATGGTTCTGACAAAGATGTACGAAAAATAATATCTACTTTGCAAGGTAAATTACTAACTTATGATTGTCTATGCAAAAAGGTTTCTAGTCTTGAGACTATTCTATACTGTAACTTGACAAGGACTGGTGATTTTCATTGACTGACTATGGCGGAGGGAATGAATACAACTCCCCCCCAAAGATTTTTCTTATTTTAATAAGACGATTTACTGGCATTCCATGGAGTATTTAGTAGCAGTTCGTTATACTCATTTGAGCAAAGTCTGCTAAAAATTGGTTTCTGTTGAAAGTTAAATGACGTCATAAGTAACAGGGAGGTCAAGCCAGTTTTTGAACAAAAATGCATTTTTTTAAACATTTTTTGATAAATAAAGTATCAAATTATAAAAAGGTGCAACTTTTAAAGAGAATGGTAGATCTACACTTCTGGAGTACAAAATGCTAAATACCCGCGAGTTTTCAGGAAATGTCAAGTTTAAGTGAACTCCAGATGGTGCCCATTTTGGCCGCCATTTTGAATGATGTGACGGCCTCAGCAGCCAAATAACCATAATATCAGTGTATATTGCAACGCGGCAAAAACCCAAGGAGGCGGGGGGNCTGCCATTTTGAATGATGTGACAGCCTCAGCAGCGAAATAAACCATAATATTAGTATATATCGTAACACAGCAAAAAACTCAAGGAGGCAGGGGGAGGTGGTTGTGGTCAAACATCACACTCCATTGTACAAAGGGTTAAAAGAGGTCTCTCTACCTACCTGCTTAGTTGAATATCCTATCTCCATTCCAACGCATATGCATTTTAGGTTGTTAGATATGTTATGTATATTAAACGATTAGAATAGAATAGATAGTAAGTAGCGTGGCCAATCAGAGCACGGCATTCGTGATAGAACGCTAGTAGATTTATACTAAATATAGGTAGATTTTGGAGGGCGATATAATTCGACATACATTCGAGTATCAAGTGTGTATTGCGCAACTGAAGGCAATGACGGTACTACCACACGTAACAATTCCGAATGTTGACCATTAATTGGCACCCATATTAATTTTCGCGACCTTTCTTCTCGCCAAATAACATTGATTCCTCATTTGGTCAACAATCTCGAGAAAAGCGAAGATTTTATGTTGCGACAATTTGTTGTTATCTAATATTCACTGTGTATTTATTTTCTAAACTATCCACTATTTTTTTGTACTACCAACTCGACAACAAGAACCGTGAAATGCCATACACGTTCATCCGATATCTGTTCAAGTCCGATGAGCATGAGGTTTCCAGCATTAAGCCTCACGGGAACTTAAGGAAAGCTTCCTCTTGTAGGCGAGTACTCCCAAGTACCCAAGAGAAATTAAAAGAGAGCTGAGCTTGAAAATGAAAAGTACGACTGCAAAAGAAGCCCTCGATGCTGTCTGTTGTTCTGTTGGTGATGTTACTTCTGCCCGATCTCTAGGACAACTCCCCCGAGGGCCAAGAGACATATACAACGCAAGATACTCGGCCAAAATATTGGAAAACCAAATGAACGCAAAGAAGACTTCAAGAAACAGAGTAACGATTCCCTTTGCCTGGACAGCATGTGGACCCTCCTGGAACGGGCAAAGAGAGAGGAGGAGATTTCCAAAGAAAGCATCTTCATTCGAGAATGTACAATACACCCAGACTTATTCGTTGTTTTGGCAAATGATCGTCAACTCCAAGGGCTTGCCCAATTTTGTACCAGTCCAAAAGAATTCTGTGTATTCGGAATTAACCCAACTTTCAACATTTTCGACCGCAATATCAGTCTCACGGTTACCACGTACAGAAACCTCAAGATCGAAAATAAACAAACTGGCAAGCCGCCTCTGTTTATTGGGCCGTTACTGATGCATCAACGTAAAGATTGGAAGACATACTCCAAGTTCGCCCACCTAATTAAATCTGAAAGCCCGGTTCTAGAAGGAATCTTGGKGTGTGGGACAGACYGAGAGAAYGCGTTGATCGATGMCTTCAAGAGAAATTTTCAGTTTGCCACTTTTCTAAGATGCTTTATCCACTTTAAGGATAACATAAAGAGAGAGCTTGGAAATAGAGGATTCCAGTCGGGTGACAAACAAAAGTTCCTTGAAGAAATCTTTGGCCGGCAGAAGGAGACTGTGAAGTTCTTTGGATTGGTAGATTCTGATTCTGACGACAAATTTGACGTGAGACTGGCGAGCTTGAAAGAAAGCTGGATGGAAAGAGAGACGAAACTCGGTTGCAGCCTACCCATAACGTTTTACGAATGGTTTAAGAACGAGGTTGGTAATTGTATAAAACTAGCTAAGCGCAAAAGTTTACAGAAGGGGTAAAGGATCGATCAATCAATCATTTAATCAATCAAACAAGGAAACGAGAAAGCAAGTAAGCAACCAACCAACCAATCAATCAATCAATCAATCAATCAATCAATCAGTCAATCAATCATCAATCAACCAGCTAATCAATCAATCAATCGATCGATCAATCAATCAATCAATCAATCAATCAGTCAGTTCATCAATCAACCAATCGATCAAGCCAGTAATCAAGCAGCCAATCAAGTATCATAATTAACTAATGATGGTAAGTTTTTGGCTTGGGAAAGCACTTCTGTAAAAACTTGGGGAAACTCTTTGCTGCGGGGATCAGTATCGGAATATGTTACAGGGAATTATCTTCAGAGACGTCAACGGGACCCAGAACTTAGGTCCAACGATATCTTTTTAATCCAAAAATGTCACCGTAGATTATTTTACAATTCAAAAACACAATTCTAAAGGATTACGCAAGGTTATCAAAAAGTCTTAACTAAACATTATATAATACATTTCAGAAAGCTCGATTGGCTATAACGGTATTCATCGTTTATAGCATTAATAACTTTCAAAACAATACAGTAAATAACAGTTTAACAAAAGACTATAGCAGGTAGCAATTACAGTTCAACGCTTATTACAGTTACGGTCTTACAACAAAATAGCATGTGTTTGTTACGGTTAATGAACTGGAACAGTATCCTGTAACTTACTGAACTGCAAAACGAACTAAAGCAAATATATCTACGTTGGATTTCTATATTTTTTCTCAGCGAAAGCGAATATGTAAAATATACTAAATAATCTGATTTTCTCGACTTGCCAAGGGGCATGCACTCAACTAGAATGTAAACATTACCCTATTTAATATGTTCTATCACTTTGTTGCCTTTTTTTGCGTAATGGTGGAAAGCCGAAATAATGGTCGACAACAGTAGAAGTCGTGGAGAAATATCGTTTTTTGTTAACAAAATCGGGTCATTCACGTACAATAAAATATAGTAAAAAAAAAATGCAGTGAAAAACAGACTTTATTACGTCTTTGGAAGATGCCTTTGGAAGAGCAAAAACGACGATTTTTCTTCGTCTGTTCGGCAGTCGACAGGAAGGAACGTTCAAATTCGCCGCTAACTAAAATAGCAAAGCTGAGGT